GGGACCCACGCAGCCCATTACTCCGCGATTTCAGAAAAGACAAAACCCGTTTGGGACCATGTCTCCTGCTTGTCCCAGGATGGGGGACAAGTGGGTGCTGCCCTGGTGCTCACCAGAAAACAGACAAAGGGTATGGAGTCTGTTGCTCCCCACCTGCACCCCTCGCTCCCCTTTTTGGGTGGTTGCAGTGCCCCGAGGAATGCTGCACCCATCCCCTCTGCTCTCACCAGGCAGGTGCCCGCAGCTGAAGGGATGTCCCTGGCGAGCCGGTTTGGGTGCCTCTTCTATGAGGTGTCAGCGTGCCAGGACTTCGTGGGGGTGCAGCATGTCTTCCATGAAGCTGTGCGGGAGGTGCGGCGCCAGGCGGAGCGGAACACGCCTGCCCGGCCACTCTTCATCACCGAGGAGCAGCCCTGCTCGCCGGTGGCCACGCCACTCGCCCTGCCCACCCGCCACGGCTTGGCCAGCTGCACCTTCAACACCCTCTCCACCGTTAACTACAAGGAGATCCCCTCGGTGGCCCAGGCCAAGCTGGTCACCGTCAAGTCCTCGCGGGCTCAGAGCAAGAGGAAAGCTCCCACGCTCACCTTGCTGAAAGGCTTCAAGATATTTTAAGACCCGTCCCTGAGGGCTGCAGAGGGGGTGGCAAGAGAATCCCATGACCCCCTGGCTCCACAAGTGCTGAGACCAACCATGACAGACTCATGGGCATCGCAGCAGCCACTGGTGGACGGTGGCCCCAGTCTCTGTGTCAGGGCAAAGCCTGCGGTGGGGATGTGGTGAGCAAATGGGGTGCCAAGAGGCTGAAATTGGCTGTAGCATCACTCCACCTGCCCCTGCCCCAGCTCACATCCCCACCTAGCCAAGCGCTGCTGCAGTGTTTGCACCCTGTCCTGCTGCAGGCACCGGGAACCAGCCCGGCTTTCCCTGCGGATCTGGGTGGTTCCCTGAGCAGCTGGAGCCATGGGCACCACCAGGAGGGCAAGGGACGTCCCCAGGGCCCCCCACCTTCCTTGGGCACCTGAGAGCCCAGAAAGGGGGAATTAATCATTAAATGAGCACAGAGGCACCCGTCTCGTTTGTCTCACGGGTACCCTGACTGAGCAATAAGTAGGAGTTTGTTGTTTGGGTTTTTTTTAATCCAAGCAAGAAAGGTGCAGATATTGTTTCAGTTGACTAAAGGCCTCAGGTGTCCTGAAACTCATTCCCATGCATTGAAATAAGTCATACCAAAATAGCTGGGTTTTTTAATCAACTTTTTACACTATATTGTTCCTTTTCAAAGGCTTTTCAAGGAGTGATGCTTCACTAACGAGAACATGCTCTGAAAAGCCTTTGTTTAAAAGACTGATGTCTTTCCAAAGAGCTCTTAAATTATTTCATGGCTTCTACAAGTGCCCAGTGATAGGTGTGAAGTGAATCCTAAAAGCAGACCAGGCTCTACCTGTGCCCAAGCCAGGGCCAAGGGCTGCGCGTTCAGTTTCATTTGCTGTTTCAGGTTAAATGCTCTGCTTCTCCCTGGAGTTGCAGTTATTCTGCGGAGTAAAATATCCACGTGTATATTTGTACATTATATATATATATGTCCTTATCGAGAGAGAGATATTCAATATGGGTTTTCAATCAACCACTTTAGAAAGTATTTTAATAAAGACAATTTCTGAAAAGAACACAAAAGCACCTCCGCTTCAGCGTGGCTATTTTCCTGATGGGACGTGACGGCATGTTCCCTGGCTGCCCGCAGGAGAAGCTTCTCACTTCTTCCCACTTCCCACTTCCCACCTCCCCCCCAGCTCAGCTCCCACGGTTTGCGGTGGGGGCAGGTGGCATCTGAGGGATGGGGTGAAGTGGGTGCAGGAGAGGAGGCTGGAGGCAGCTGAGAGCAGCAGGTACCGACCAGCCAGCCAGGAGCTGATCCAGGGCACGCACAGCTTTGCCTCAAGTCCAGAGCCGCTTCTGCTGCTTTTTTTTTTTCTGTTTCTCCAGGCTAAACTGCATTTTTAAACTTCCACCACTACGAATTGAGACATTCTGATATATTCCTTAGGGCGTTGACTTCAGCTGCCATTATAAGGCATCCTCGGAGCTCTCTGCATACAGAGATGTGATAGTCCCGTCCTTCCACTGGACCACCACTTCTCCCAATCTCTGATCCTGGGGCACTGGCTCCTGCTTGCGGGGTTCATCCGGGCTGTTTTCCTGCCGAGGCATCAAGGCTTGCTTGGCTTCCAGCTCAGCCTGCTGAGTGGTTTGCACTGCTTCTCTGAACACATAGATCTTCCTTTTTCTGCAGGAAAGACATAAAAAGGAAAGGCGGAGTGAAACAGCGAGCCTGCGTGTGGGGGCAAGTATCTACTCCTGGTGATGGTCACATCCATCTCTTCACACATCGGCCTTGGGAAGGGGCAAACCCTGGCAGCTGCACTGTCACAGAACTAGTCTGAAATGTTTGAGTACACACAGCCACGGGGTTCACACTTGGAGACACCACATCGCCCAAAGTGAGGCAGTAACACCCGGCAAGCCATCATTAAACTGAAAGCACGGCACACTTGTAACATTAACTCTTTTTCTCTCATTTTAAGACAAAAACTCTGGCCCAGATGTAACTTTCTTGCTGTAGAAAACACTGAGTTGCTCCTCAGCTGCAGGGTTGTACAGCAGTATAGCCCAGGGGAATACTGAGGGAATGCAGCTGGGAAAAGGCTGGGGAGTCCTTCTCCAGAGCCCCTGTATTTATGGGAGAGCACCTCACACTTCACATTGCATCTCGCTTCCCTCCCAACAGCCCTGAAGAGCTGTTGCAGGTGTTTTACTGCTGAGGATCCAGGGTCTGGAGAAGGAAAGTGGCTCATTCTGAGTGACACATGAGGAGAGCAGGGAGACAGGCAAAGTTTTACAATGAAGCACAAGGAGTTTCTCTTTGCTCTTCTCCCCATCACTCAGGGCTTGTCCTGCCCTGTGTCTCAACACACTACCCTGCCCTGCCAAACCCACATCTGTCTGCCTGGGGCGGGGGGTTCAACACAACACCACACACCAAAAGACCCTTGAATTTTCGTGTCTCACCTGTTTTGCACAATGTTAATGGATAGAAGGAAAAGACCCAAAATCATGGCCATGAAGGAAAGCGCAAGGATGGAGTAATTCCACAGTGATGCTGGGGGAAAGTACAGAGAGGCAGCGTTAGCATGCACAGAGCAGTGTGACCCACAGAGCCCAGCCAGGAGTTTTCTGGGGATACCCAAGCTCAGAGTGCCATGGCTGGGCTACAGGACAAGGGCAGAGGTGCTGGTGTCCAGCTCAGTACTCAGAACAGAGCACCCAGGCCACATTCTTAGGGATAACCTCAGGGAACATTCCCTCCCTGGGCAGGAGACTTACACAACTGCTTTCTGCCACTCCCAGTCCACCACCCTGGGCTCTGTCTCTCTCACTCTGACCACATGTGCCTTTTCAACCCTGCCCGAGAGCTGGGAGTGGCTGTGCCCCAGGGTGGGAGCAAGGTCAGGAACTGCAGCATCCCACCAGGAGCACTGCTAGAAGGGCTTCTCCACCATGCAGCCTTTCTCGCCGCTGCCACGCTCTGGAAGGTAGATTTTGCCTTTGAACACCGGCCAGGGTGTGCAGAGCAGACAGCAGTGGATGCTGAGCCCTTGATTTTTGTGGCTTTGAAGATGATCCTCGGGCCACTGACCTGCTCATTTCAATCTGCTCCCTCCACCCTACCAAAATCACTGGTCATCCCAGACCTTTGCTCTCTTGGCAGGATATATTCCTGGAAAGAGGCTGAACCCCTCTCTGGGACAAGACACTCAGCAAAGCCTCATGACTGTCTTCACCATGGCCTGCTTCTTCTGGAGAGGATTTGTATATCTGGGGTAAATCACCTCCTTGGGTAATTCCCTCGGCACCTCCATTAAGCAGGAGGGTTAGCAGCCAAGGACCACGTATCTCTATTTCAACTCTCAACCCAACAACATCAATGGGACTTACAGTCTTCTCTGCGGAAGAACCAGAGCAGCTCCTCCAGCTCTTCTTGATTTATACCCAACACAAGGGTCGCGTTGCCTGCTGTGTGGTCATACACTTGTGTGCTGGCAAGGGCTGCAGCGAAGTATCTGTCTTGCTCTGCCTTGGCTGTGGAGGAAAAGAGCAGAAGGATGCAACAGTCACTTGCTGCGATACTTCAGGCTAGAAATGGTCTTCCCCGTGGCTCCCAGGGCTGCCCAGCATGTCTCTCCAAGCAGGCAGAACACAGCCACGAGGGCACAGCTTTATCTCAAGCACTGAGAAGTGGAGAGCATTTCTAACTCACACTGCAGGTCCCGTTACAGTGAGGCACCCAGCGTTAGAAGGACCCCAGGGCGCTGACTGTGTCTTTCCACATTCCCCAGCAGCATATGTGTGTTTGTGTCTGTGTGTGTGTACATACAGATGTACATATGCACCACTGGTGCCCAGGTGTGCAGCACTTACCTGCTTTCTCATTGCACACGCTCCTGCCTGCAACATCTTGCCATCGGGCCTTCAGACCTGCCATGCTACTGAGAGTGACTCCTTTCTTGTTTGCCACCAGGTAGCCCTGGCTGCTGCCCAGAGGAGAGAGCAGTGAATTCAAGCAGTCCCAGCTCGTGTAGCCCCCACTGCCACAGAGACTTGTCTGCACTCTGTCAGCCCCCACTGCGGAGAGACAGCTCTGCGTGCCATGATTCATCAAGGAATCGCCTTGCCAAGACCAGTCCTGGAAATCTGACTTTGGATTACAGTCCTCCAGAAATAAATTCCCATTCATCGGGCTGGCTTGTAAACACAGCTTGACTTTAGCATTTTTCATCAGAAAAGCTCCAGTGTCTGCAAAGAAACCAGCATATGAGTGTGGCCATCCCGTTAGCACAGGACATATACACACACAGAGTGTATAGGGCAGATGGGAATGACAAAAAATTCTGGAACTGGGAACAGCCTAGAGCAAAAGGCATTAAAGACACAAACCTCCTCCAGTCCAGCCTCTCTCTGTCAGAGCCACTGGGCTTGTAGCTGAGCCCTCCCTATCCCATGCTTCTCAGCAAACATGGCTCAAGCACGTCCTTTTAGGTGGGTCCTGGGAAGCCCAGCTAGACTTGCCTTTGCAACTGGCACTGAGCTCTGTTCAAAGCTGAATCTGTAGCTGATCCCCAGAGAAGAGATGACAGTAAGCTCCTCTCCTAGTCTTGAACTTTGCTGGGCCCTTTGGTGTGTTGGCTACTGCCAGCCCACAGCCCCATGCAGCCTGGCCCAGGCTTAGCCCCTTCCTGCTGGTCCTGGGAGGTGGGAGGCGGCTCTCTTGGTTCTTTCCAAGTGTCAGAGGAAGCTCAGACCCTCTGGTGAGCCTCATTGCTGGCTTCTGCTTTGCCTCTGGGGACAGACACCCTGATGTCCTGCTCCAGCTGGATGAACTAGGAACTGCCTCTAACATCTCTGTTTCTGGAGAGCCAGAGGAGCAAGGGTTTGGGGATCAGGTCTTTCCAGTTTGGCTGTCTAACCTTAAAGTGTCAGCTGGAACATGCCTCTGAAGAGCAGAGGTGCACAAAGTCCCAACAAACATTGATTGGGTTTTTAAAAAAATAATATCTCCATGTGTCAAGTGTCTTCCTTGGTGTCAAAGAGACCGCAACTGTGCTGTGGGTGCAACTTTCCCCATGATGGATCCAGGCTGCTGCTGGTGTATACTGAAGAAAATGTCCCCATGGAGAGGAAGAAACTGTATTTCCAGAAAGTTAAGGTCTTTAATACGTCTTTGCCATAATACTATCGGTATGTGTTTTCCCTCAGCCAGTGAGGTGTTTGTAAGGTCATAGAACAATGCTGGAAACATTGCACATGTACATCCAGCTCCTGTGAACCCACTCTGCAGTCAATGTCTTGTTGTAACCCATGCTGAGAGCCTGTAAGAGCCTGTGAAGAGACACAGCCTCGGCACGTGTGACCTACTTTACCCATGCCATAATCCTCTAGGCCAAGACTCTACCTTGCAGCAGGAAAAATGGGATTATCCAGAAGAACTTCATATTTGTCTGTGGGCTGGGATGGATCACGTCTTCGCCAGAGTTCTGTCAGTGTCCAGATGCCTGGGAAAGAGAGACAAGAAGGGAGGGATAACCTCACAGTGTCCCCTGCTAGCTCCCACTGTGTGGTGCCACTGGTTTTATCAGTGGAAGCCCTGGAAGTTACACAAATTATTACTGAGGGACTGGAGATGGCAGGCCAGAATGTTTCTCTTCTGGTGTCTACAGCAGATGAAATGAGACAAAAGCACAGTGATGATATTTTAAATTATGCTGCACTCATGCTGATTCTCCTTCCTACTCCAGCTCTGTGTTCAGAGAGGGATCTGATGTACCCCCACAGCTGTGACATTGTTCTCTTCTGTGGATGTGAGTCAGGATGGGGTGCAGACAGATGGTGATTCCGGGAGGCACTGAGGCGACAGCAGAGTGGCTCTGGCACAGGTCTACTGCCTGGAGTTGGACCCCTTGCCTAGGTGACCCTGTGCAGATGTGAGCTTGGCTGCTGAGAGCCAGCCCCTCCCCAGCTAACCTCACGGCTTCCCTCCTTGCTCCGCTGCCATGATCCTTAGAGACCACACAACTTGTGGAGAGGGATTACCTGCTGCCAATCCATGGATGGGCAAATAAAGCTGTGGAGATGAGGAAGTGGAGGGCTCAGTTCAAGAAAAGAAAAAGCCAGCTTGCTATTCAGGCAAAGGTATCTCCCACTGCTCAAGGAAGCAGAAATCTCCTCCTTGACCTTCAGTCCCTCATTTGTCAGTGGCATCAATCCATTTTTTATGGCTGCTTGTCCACCTCAGTTCTTCAGCCTCCTCTGGAGGGACCTGACCCAAGCAGAGGCTTCCCTGGCTGTCCATGGTGAGTTACTGAGACAGTTGGGTTGGCTAACCCTAGCCCACTGCTCAGCTCACTGGCCTCATCTGAACCATCACCCGCCTGCAGGTGAATGACACCACAACACGCATGCATCCCTCAGACATACTGGCCCCACGGGCCATTAATTATTACATAAAGACTTAGACTTTTATGACTCTCTGATACTCTCAACTTTTATCCACCTTTATAGTGTGGCCTGACACTGTCTGAAACTGTTCCCTGGCAATCGCTCACAAGAACATTCCGCTGTGCCAGGCGTGTCAACAATGCTGTTGCTGACTCCTCAGGGAAGCATTTGTCCTATCAGTTATAGACCTAGTGATTGCTACTATTTTCCCCACTTCTCAAAGTCTTCACAATTCAAAGTTCACATTTTATAGCCAACCAGGCATGCAGGCTTGCTCCCTGCTGGAAAACCACCTGTTAGCAATTCTTTGAGAACAGGACTCTCAAACACATGTTCACTTTGACTCTGTATTTCAGAAAATATGGGTAAAGCTGCTCCCTGCAGCTAGGTATGCCAATTACCTTACCATCCAGGTAACCTTTAGCTTATTCATATGGATCACTTCTCAGAAAGGAGGAAATAAAGTCTTGGTGCCGATGAAATCAAGTTATAAGTCTGTTACACCATACTAAGAAGTGCCACTTGAATGTGCTAAATCTTGCTGTGCAAGACTTCTGTCTAATCCTTTGTGCAAACAGGAATATTTGACATGCATGTTGCTGATTTTCTCCTAAGGTGTTTCATAACTTGCTGGCCACCTCCTGGTGTCCACACTAAAACTGCCACGCACAGCAGGGATGCTAAGAACGCTTCTAGAAGTACTTCACTACTTCATAAAGTCTTCGGCATCACCAAATCCCTCCCAGACGTGGGAGGCCAAAATATCTCAAGTACAATACAGTAGCAGAATGGATATTTATTGTGCATTACCAGGAAATTTAGGTGAAAGACTTTATGGGAAACCACTGTTATTTTAAAGATCTTTCACATCTACATCAAACTGAGCAAACTAGTTTGGAAGTTTCATTCATCAAAGCTACAAACCAAAGTGTTCTCAGGCCAGTGTATCTACCACAGTCGAGAGCCTGAGCGGGATTTAGAGCACTGTCTGCACCACCAGTTTCCTCAGTGAGGAAACAGTGAGTCCCACAGTTGGGCTGGATATGCACTGGAGAGTTTGGATCTTCTAGCTTGAAAGAGAGATTTTTAGTCACCTCCAGCTTTCCCCACACAGTTGCTCTGCCTCGCTGCCCACATCCCGCTTGCCCAAACAAGCTGAGAGTGGATGACGTCTTTTCTGTTGCTCCTCTGCCTGCACATCTCAGTAGTCACTCTGGCTGCTCTTGCATGGGGATGAGCCCCTAGATCCGGGCCTTAGACAACTCTAAGCTGTGGACTTTGGTCTCCTAGCCCTCTGAAGACACCCAAGACCCTTCTGAGGTTGTTTCCCAGATTGGGTTCAACATGGGAAGCTCAAATGAGAGAAAGCTCATGTGTTTTATGCTTGTATGGAAGGAGGTACAAAGAACAAAGAGGTCAGAACCTCTCAAGGAAACATTCTACCTCTTATTTTGAGTTTATGTTTACACCTGAACAACTCTGTAATTTCTTTCTTTTTGCAAATGGGATTTTCACATCAAAAGCAGCAAAATTTTTATGCTGTACATACTTCAGGAACAGAGTCACTCACCAATGCTGCCCCAAATCCTCCTGTTCAAAACCAGTATCTCTGGACTTTGGTGGCCCTCAATGACATCTTGGGAAAATATAGAAAAATGGCAAGTGGCTGCTTTTTGCTCTACATATTGATCCCAGCACTTAAATAGTAAAATCCTTCCTCTTGATGGAAGCCCTTGGAGACCTGAGACCTGTCATACACACAAGGCAGAGGTGAGGTATCAGTGCTCTAAAGGGTGACATAACCTGGTGACTGGCCTGTGCCATGCGGGAACACGCATGTCCCCAGCTGTATGGGGACACTCTTCATCCAGGGCACAGCACACAGTGCTGTGAAACCATCATGTGCTTTCTGTGTTGGTTTTTATCAGGATGAATACTCAGTTGCTTACCAGGCCAGATGATGCCCTTACTCTGCAAGTTCTTCAGATAATTACTATATTGATATAAGTAAAGATGGGGAAAAAATCCTCTTCTGGGAAGACCATCAAGTAGAGCTTCTGCTAAGATGATAATGTCCTTCTGGATACTCTACTCACTACATAATATGGGACAATGCACCTATAACATCCCAGTCTTTGCAAAATAGTCCCCTCTCGTCTTCCAGACTCTCTCTGGTGGTTATCTTATCTTAACCAATTGTATTAAAATGCATCAGTTATTCCAAGCACATTATAAAAGTGGGATGCCCTGACTTTGGGGTTCATAGAGGATATACAATGGCACACCACAGAGATACAAATGGATAGGTTAGTTTATAAAGGTACATTAAGGACTGAGTTTAATTAAAGAACACAAGAAAATGGTTTAATATTTAAAAAAATAGAGCAATAAGGCAGTCTGTACTATTTTTTAACCTTTGTAAAGTCAAAAGTTAAAGAGCAAATCTGAGTTATATTAAATATTTTCCTTTGACTGCTTTCCAGGCTGTTTATATGAAGGAGTTATCCCAGCCTGCTTCTCATTTGCCATTCAGTCTCTCTCTAAACAAGTTACACAGTCTTCTTAAAATTTCCAAGAATCTGAGCTTTCTAACTGAAATAAATAAATAAGCCTTTCTTTACAGCTAGCTATAAATTAACCCACCAGCTAGTGCAGCAGGAATGTCCGTTAATCTCCGTTAACTCACCAGAAACATGCAGTTCCCAGCAGAGAGGAAGTTACATTTCTTCTTTAAGCACTGCTGTCAGAAGATGCCTCCTCTGAACACTCGTCAGTGCCTTACTACGGCGACAAGGTTGCCTTTCCTCCTGCTCTAAGTAGGCTATGAGCTGTGATTCATTCTGCTACTGAGTCATGTGTGAAGGCCAGTCCAACAGTTGAGATTCACTCTAGTCCCTGAAAAAAACACACCTCTTTAGTGGGTCCATTTACAGCATGAGGTGAACGACCTTTTCCCAAAGAATGAACCGCAGGAACTTCCAGCTTATTTGCTCAAGCAATTGGTGTAACTGGTATTAAAAGGGCACGTGGAGTAGAATGACACTCAGTAATAAGTTACCCTGGGGTTAAAATAAATGATAATGTTCACTCTGCCTGGCTCAGTCCTCATTACACAAAGGAAGCATGTCCTGATAAAGCAGATTAACCTTTTTTTTTTTTTTTTTTAGTGAACAATCATTCTAAGGCTCTCAGAGCATCTTATAAGAGCAATCGATTTTGCAGGCAAAGCTCAACTCACCCATCAGAGATTTTGCCTCCCTCTTTCACAGGTACTGGCAACAGTTGGCTAAGTCTGCTAAGAGGCTTTGCAGTGTCCCAAGGCTGAGGTGCTGTCCTTTTATGCCAGACACATTTGGAAAGGAGGATTCCTCCTCCCTGAACTACCTGATCCATGGGTGGAGCTGCACACGGCAGAGCAAGCTAGATAGCTCTTGGTGATGGGCTTGGAGCACACAGCTAGCACTGGTTAGCATAAGCTTAATGGGAGATAGACACAGTCTCCATCTGTTTGTCCTGTTCTTGGTGTTTTCCAGCTTGAAATAAAGTGTCTTTGGCACTGTTCCTGTTCCTTTGAATCCCACCTCCCATCTGATTCAGAGCTTGCTCTGGCTGCCCCTGTGAAATTTCACCCAGCAGACACATGTACTCCCCAAACAGAGATGTTTTACTGTTCAGCGTCAGCCCGGCAGTGATCAGATAGGAGCTCTCACTCAGAAACACATCCTCCAGGAAAACACGAGCTCCTCTCTGCTGGGGGAGGCAAACTGAGCTGGGACATCACATCACGCTGGAAATCATGGAAACTTTTCTCCTTATGTCAAGCTGGATAATTTAGGAAGTGCCATCACACTACACAATGTTTTTTAGAGTGCCATTGTGAACTTTCCATCGCCAGGGACGGGATACAGGACAGGCCAGCAAGCGGTCTCACAAGCTACACACCCAAACCCTCTGGCTCACAGCCTTTGAGAAAGGCACAGAGAGAATGCCTGGCCCCTGTAGTGCAATCTCTGAGTAGAGGGATGGAGACACTAGCCATGGTGAAGAGGTGACTGTAACTGGTAGAAGGTGACTGCAAAGCCCTAGAAGGTTCCTTTTCATCCCAATTTCCTAAGTGGCTAGATTTATGTATCTGTATTTTAATTAAAAAAAAAAAATTTCCCCAGTTGCTGTGTGGAAGATGGGGATAATGGTGTAACTAGTATTTCCCTCAACCAAAGCCTCTGAAAGCTGGTGGAAAAAGCTGATCAGAGGAGAGAGAGTGACTGCAGCCCCTGGGAAGTCAGAGGCAGCTCTGTAGCTCCTCTGTGGCCGTTTGGGTCCCATTCCACCTTTGGGCTGTTTGCAGAAGAGGTGTCTGACAGCTCCTCTCACACAGGAGGCCCCCAAAGCCCTACTGCTGCCCCGGCAAGTTCAACGTCTACCAGCCAGTGGTGAAGCGATGGACCACCTCTGCTCACCTCCCTGGGCTGGAGTGGCGTGGGTCAGGGACAAGCCTTAGGGCACTGGCACAGTGGCTTCTATTTCACTCCCCACACCCCCCAGAAAATAGTGTCAGGATGCAGGTAGGTGGCCAAGATGCCTTTAGAACTCTGTGTGATGTACATGGAAAAAACCCTAGTTTCCCACTGGTTAGAGTTGGCCCTCGTGCCCAGTAATCCTCTCCTTCTCCAGAGGACTGCGAACACGCTCAGGAGCAACCTCTTCAGCAACGGCTGTGAGTGTTTTATTTCGTATTTCCCTTGACAACACTGGCACTCTTTAATGGGAGATATCTTTTTACTTCTTGGAGACACTTTCAGTGTCTTTGGCTAGGAAGCAAAGTGGAGATTAGGACATTGATTTGTGTTCTGCTTCCTACTCAGATTTGTCTTCACTACTCCTAGGAAGAACTTGTTTGACCTTGGCGTTTTAATTTTGCTTATCTTTTTTGATCCCTTCTGTGTCTTTGACCTGAAATGCCTGGTTACAGAATAACTAAACATTCAGGGCTGGGTTTTCTTTTTCCATAAAAAAGCAGAGTTCAAATGCAGCAGGAAAGCAATATTTGTGAGCTTTTTTGTGCACGTGTGTGTGAAATAATCAGATTGTTTCTTTCATTCTGCTGGAAAAAAATTACAGCGAAATAAATCTTCAGTTAAAATTCATGCACACTGTATCCAAGGCATAATACTAAATAATAGCCATAATCTGTTTGAACTGTAGAGTTGTATCAGAGCTGAAGATTAATTACTTGGGAGCAAGTATGCTGGAGTGAATTTAAGTGCACTTCATAAACTCACTGCAAATGCAACATTACTTCATGCATAAGTCTGACAAAAACTCAGCATGGAGTTTCAGTATTTTCAGGAGCTTTAACTGCTGCCAACACTGAGAATCCGTCTCCAGGGTTTAAGACCCCTGACGAGCAGCAGGTGAAGCTCCACACAGTGCAGATGTGCCGCCAACACCTTCAGTGCCTTCTGTGCCAGGTAGCACGGTACCTGGAAGTTAACACAGAGCAGCAGCTGGATGCTGGGTTCAAATTCCCAGCTTTCGGGCCATCCAGACACACATGGTATGTCCCTGATATTTCTGAAGTGTTGGTGATAAATCCAGGGTTTCACCCAAGACCTCGAGAGCTGGCATTCACCGACACAACACAGGACGTCTCCTTCCAGCAACTGTGCTGTCTGCTTCTGGAAACCATGGGTATTTTTCAGCATCTGAGCTATTATGTGGTCAAATTTTTTCAGCATCTGAGATAAGTAGCCAAATTACACACTGTGTGGAATGCTGCTTCCGCTCTTTTGGGGCTGATACCTGTAAGTGCCTGATAACGCCGTTTATAATCACTTAGTTATTGTGCAATGACAAACTGTTCCCTGTTTACTACCTCCATACTATTTATGATAAGACAGACTGCTTGTCCGTTCTTCTTCCCCCACCCGCTTTCTAAGATGAACTATGCTGGTTCCCTTAATCTCTTCTCAAGCAGAAGCCATTCCTTCATCCTTGCTACCCTCTTGTTTATATTTTTATTTTTTTACTGTACCCTTTCAACTATGCACCCTGAGATAAGGCAGCTGGAATTGAAGAGTGTGTCCTGGATGTGACTAAACTGAGAATTTTCATGGGGCTCCCCAAGTACCAGAGAATTACATTTTCTGGATCAACTGATTTCTACATACTGAATATCAGCTAGGAAATTACATCAGTATTTGTAGTGTATTCTCCCTTTCTCAGGGTGCAGGAATGTAATCACCTCAGTTAGGATGACCTGACTCATTTTTTTTTTACCTCTAACAGCACTTTCTCATTAGTTTTCCTTTGTTTCTCTACCACTAGAGATGGAAGCATCTTCCATGTCTAAGAAAGCCCTAATGATGAGCAAAACAGAAGTGGAAAAAGGAATGAATATGCACAGTGCTGCTTGGCACAGCACAAAATTTCACTTTCCTTACTAAGCCTTCCCTTGTCTAGCTGTCTGACATAAATTGTCATCCCATTTCCAAGTATTTTAGATGTTTTCACTAGCCTATAGGAAATGTTTCCAGATTCTCACATTCCATGTTTTAGAAATTCTGAGTGTCAGAGACTGTAGGATATACTGTGATTTAGATGCATAGGGAATTTGTGTATGTAATTTACATTAAATGAAAATCTTCACAAATAAACCATCTTCCCATTGGGGAAAAGAATGTTCTTAGTAGAATGATAAAATATAACGGGAGAAGATAGTTCTTTAAGTGGTTATTCTGACCCCATGGTTTACAAGAAAACATTCTTTATCATCACTATTAAACAAAGCCGTCCACAGAGGAGACACAGAAATTAGCTTTTCAAACACTATACTGGAGCCAGCAGAAAATCAGCGGCTGCGGTGTCAACATCCTTTTCTGCCCCCAACATTTTTCAGCCTTATCTTCGCACTGAGGCCGAGCGGCCAATTTACGGTCATGAGGGCCAGGGTTACGGGTCCACCGCCACGGGAGACGCTCGCCGGAGCAGCACCAACGCTGCGGAGAAACAGGAACGAGGGCGCGGGCTGCGCTGCCGAGGCCGCGGCTGAGGTAGAGACCTGGCTCCGCTCCCCAAGCCCGCTCGCCTTTCCCTCGGCGTGGTGCCACCGCCGCGGACCCGGGAAGCGCTGCC